CCCAACAAAAGCTATTATTTCAAGGGTACTGTTTCGAGCGGGTCCGATATATGGTATTGAGTTTGAAATTGGTTATGATATCTGAAGAATGCGTAGTATTATAGTAGTATGCGTTGAAGAAAATGAATTTCTCTAGATTTATAGGGAAAATTCATCTTTGAGTGAAACAATGACTCACAGAAAAGAAATAGGAAATGTTAGACTTGTGTCTGTTTAAGTGTTCCTGACTTTGAAGTGAACGGAAACCAGCATTAGCAGGACCCTGACGGGTTTCAAAAAGTTTCAGCAAGGGCGTTATAGACCATGTCCCGATTGCTTAAATAATAAATATCGCTATCCACGTGCACCGGATAAATTAATATCCAATGGATAACCCGGTTTGTTTTGCCAACACGTATCCATTGGATAGTGACTTATCAGTCAGATAGCGTTATCCATTCTTTGAACAACTGGGTCCAGTTCTGGGTCCAGAGTATTCAAAATCGTGAAATTTGGTTCAAAGAGGATATAGGTTCAGAGAGTAAAGATGCTTCCCGCCCTCCAGCTATTTATGTTTACGTAAATATTTTTCCACCTCGCAGCGTGCGAAAGTTTCAATAGGTTTTACCCACACCAGACAGAAATGTCAGTTTTTCGAACCGAAGCATATTTCCCTGGGGAGATCTTGACTGAAATATTTTAAACTTTGTTTTCATGCGAAAAATAACAATTTCTTGAGATGTAGAAATGTCGACGCAGTTGGAATATGAAATGAAATGTTGTAATTCTCTTTAATCACATCTCCAGGATGCGTTCAGCGGCTGCCAGATCCTGCCATGCTCACACAAGGTTCACAGGGAGTGCGCCATTGCAATGATACAAAACGGCGTGTAAGTATATTTAAGCTGTCTTCATCTCAACAGGCCTCTCTGCCGTCTGATAATTGTGACAAAAGGTATTGAGTCCCGTATGATCTCAGTGTTATGTTAGCAGCCTTAATTGGTGAATGAATAACGAGGAGCTTAATTGAAATCCCTGTGACATGCCACAGTTTAAATCGTCTTTCAGTTGCCGATCATCCACTAAGTTCTAGGCTCGGATTTAGTAAAGCTTCGCTTACTTCAAGTCAATTCATGGCTTTGACGCAAAAAAATCCTTATTACTTCATGACTTGTGCGAAAATCAAAGTTTTTTTTAATATTTCTTATCAGCATTATGTTTAGAGGAATATTCTCACAGAAATAGCTTCACGCAAGCCATCATGGTAAGTCTGGGTAAACCGAATTTCTTTTGTTTCCTCCACAGTCGCAATTGCCCAATTTGTCGTCATCCGCTGTACAGTCAGTCAGCAAGCACCGGGTAAAATGGTTCCAATGGAAAACAGGGACCTTTTGCATTATGATATTATTACGACTGGCAGGAGAGCCTCTTTACGGTAAACGATTCTCGTTTGGATAACACCTTAATCAAATTGTAGTTTTAGCTTTTTTAAAAGCTCTAATTTTGTTGCACTGACTTAATTAGGAAACGTAACCAAATGAAAGGAATCTTTTATTGTTATTACATTTTAGCTAGTAGTACCCATATTTTTAAAATTTTGTATTCCTTGCCAGTCCAGGAGTGCCTAAAATCTCGTGTTCGTTTATACAAAAAGGCATTTGGAAAATTTAGGGGTTCATCATAGCGAACCAGTGTTCGCGTTGTAGATATCTCAGTTGTATATAAACGACTACAACTTCAACCTATAAACGAGTTGTGTAATTTGTGATAGGTAATTGATATTGTTTTAGCCTGTTAATATGCACACGGAACGTCAATATCAGATCAGCAAAAATTTTGAACAATTTTAAAAGCATCATTCGAAAGTTTGATGTTAGCTCTCTGCTGGACGACGGAAGCATGCGTTGTTCTTGCTGCTCATCTATGTAGTTAGTTATTAATAATTTATTAGGTGATAACACTATGAAAACATTATCAACAGATTATGTCTTAGTTTTAATTTTAACTGTTACTAGATCTTATTTCAATATATTTTATCTTATATTTTAGTCTCCCCAATTAGGAGAGCACTTGTGCTCGGCTATTAAGACTTGAGACGTAGATAAAGTTGTCATTTATTCATTCATAGCTAGTTTTAATAGAAATAGATTACAAGTAAGTCGTAAAGACGGTGTATGACTTAATCATAGTTCCGTGAACAGCTTAAAGCCGATTGTATGTACATATTGAAAACTTGGAGCACGAAAACCGTCACAGGATATTCGGTTTGGTTTACAGTGAATTAGTTCAGGTGTACAATAAAACAACAGAAAAAAAAGTGTATGATCGGACCAATTTATTGTCTAGAAAATGCCACTTTAATTATTGATACTGTATGATATAAAATAAATTTAGAGTGGTGTGCTAGGAATCGAGTCGCACTCTGCAAACCAACTGGTACGCCCTCAAGTTAGTTGAACAAGAAATAAAAGAGACAAAAATGCAAGAAAAAAAGAAACAAAAAAATCGTTAAAAATCATTAAAAAAAAGTGTTAAAAGGATAGAAAAAACACATTAGAAATTAAAACCCTCAATAGGAGTAGGACGCCGCCATTTGAAAGTGGCGAGCTGTGTACAGATAAAATGTCATTGAAGTATATAAAACCGTTTTAAAGTATATGAAAGTCCCTTAAACTTAAGTAGTAAGAAATAAAAAAAAATCGAGGTAAAAGGGAAAAAAAATGCTCAAAAAAATTGTAAAAGGATCTAAAAAGAACGTTACAAATTAAAGACTACAATATGAGTGGGAGGCCGGCCACCACTTTGAAAGTTGGTAGCTGTGCATGGCTGTAGAGTTAAAAATATCATCAAAGTGTTCAAGCCATTTTGAATTTTTCGAGATCGTTTAAGTCTGCAAATGACGAAAATTCAATGATGAAAGCTCTCTGAAATCCGAAGTGACAGGACAAAAGAATTGACCAAGAGTTAACATCATAAACATATGATGTGCTTTCCGTATATACAACATCAGTTTTAAAACCGGAAAAAAAATTTAAAAATGCTTGCAGTACAACGATAGTTCGATCGATGTGACAGCAGTGATTATATTCTAAACTTCATTTTATGCTTAATGACGACCAGTACTTACTCTAAGTAGGTAGGTTAGCTGTGCTATTTTGAGTAGTGTAGTATTTAGTAGTAGTCAAAAAAAGAAAACTTCATTTTATGCTAGTAGATGGATAGGGTTGTTTAAAAGATACTGGTAGTAATTTTTAATCCATGAGATTTTCGTGTCTAACTTGTTTTAGCTCTTAACACGTATTCACATAGGTAGCTTGGTGAAGGTTCTCTTTTTTTTTAAACAAATTTTAAGGTACGATTAATAACTAAAATATTAGAGATTTTTAAGTAGGTCTAATAGTCAAGATGTTATCGCAAACTTCGCTGGAATTCCAAATTAATTAAGTTGGCAATGAAAATCAGAGTGAAAAACAAGTTTTCAATATTGAGGACGGACCAATACATTTACTGAATTGCTCCATGCCATATCACCGTTCCCGCTCCTGAGAGACAGGAGGCACATTAAGACATTCCCAGCAGAACTTAATTAAATTTTGATAGAATCGAGTGAGGTTTGCGATAGCTGTTTCTCAACATATACGTATTTTTCGGGTTGGGCCATTAGGGATCAGGGAGAAGGGGGAGCCATTTCTTACTTAAATTCGCTCAAGGCAACATTATCCAGAGCAAAATTCCGTGGGCAGTTTATCAACAAGAATAGATTTAAGTGCAGTGCTTGCGCGTTTCAAAAAACAAAAACAGAACCTAGCACAACTTGTACCCAAGCTGGAAAACATTCCTACCTTGCAAACCTTTCTCTCCTTGATTTCTGAAAAATGCCCACCCTCCCCTTGCCCAAGACGGGCCCACTATGGTGATCTATTAATAGTTTTAGCTTGACTTGGGCTGAGAATTTTTTAACTCTTTAGACAATTTGTCCAACGACTTTTACTGATTTTATACCTCCTATCGGCTTGAATTGGAAAGGTTTTAACAAACTGTACGATCGCGGTCTTTCAGTTAAAGGGATCAGTTATGATCTTTTTGTGTGTCGATTGCAGCATTTTTAATCTCCTGTTAATACTTAGGTATTTAAGGACTAAGGTATTCCTTTACACAAGCCTCATTGTTTTCCCTTGGCGTTCTTGCCTATAATATACACAGCTGTGCTGTGAAATAACACAAGAAACAATTAATCAGTCAGAAATGTTGGACAATTTGTTTAAAGAGCGCTATAATAATATATTACAATAGCGTTAAAGTAATTGTTAGCGTTTATATTTTTACAATTTATGCTTATTTGATGAGATAATAGCAGTAGTAATAAATGATTTTTAATACTTGATCTCAAACAATCTGTTTATTAAGTAAGTGTGCGGCGATTCCTTCTGTTGGCTCGTGTACTGTTGTGCGACTGCTTCGATTGAGAGAACAAAATTGCGGCCGCGCAAAATTTTTCTCTCGCAGAGTTTCTCATTTCATTTGATGGCCCAAGAGAAACAAGAGAGAACCGGATTGCAATATACCATAGCAAAGAGACGAGTCATGTTGTATGGCATAAAGGAATGTATTAACTACCATGATTAGTCCTTCATCCTTTAGATCATCCTTCATGCTCTCAAAAGAAGAAACGGTCAGACCCCGTGCCAATTAGACTCCAATTAAGGCTCGTATCACCTTAATTATCTGTTACTTGTTTTTCCCTAAGAAAACATGAACTGAACAAGCTCGGACGCCATAACTCCAGAGACTTAAGCCGTGAAGATCGTTGAATAACAGATGAACGAGATAAACATTAATGAGTTCTAGCCATCCCCCATCCTCTCAGACAATAACAACGGCACAACGAATTTTGTCCTTGAACTTGAGTATTCCATACAGCAGCACAGCAGTACAGTTCCCTTATAGTATCCCTTTGTTATGAAACGTTTGAGGTTCTTTGGTACCGGCACAGAGTCATCAGAGGGTGAGTATATGTGCACGAGAAATTTACATAGCTATATTTTGGACAAGAAAATATTGTTACATTTAGTTTCGACTTTTTCACGACAGGAATGTCGTCTCGAAGTAACAGTGTATTCTAAACTTTCGAAGTACTATTTATTCAGTGGATCAAGACCTTAAAATACAATTGACGGAACCCGTGGAAAGCTGTTGAAAGTGATAAACTCGACCATTTAATCCATCCCTACAAGTGTTTCGTAATTTTCGAGACCGCTTGGAGCCAAGCAACCCTCCCTCCGGATTGTACTCAACGAAAGCTTTATCTCAAAAACTCTCTCTGGCATTCTGGCACTCTCTAAATCAGTTGCGGTAGCCCTCACCTTTTCAGTTGAGTACACTAACTACTCAAAGACGCTACCTGAGGAATTCTGCCTACTATCCGCCACACCCCGGACGACTGTTCTAGGGCCGATCGTTTGTTTGTTATCCGGGGAATTCCTTTTGGAAGAACGACTTATTTCAGTAGAAAAACTATCGCTGAGCCTGAATCCACTTTATAAAACAGTCAATGATGGCTTTTTAATCACTTTTGAAATTGTGGGCAAATCTGAGTGCCGCGTCCGGTGCGAAGTATCGGAAGAAAGCACGTGATGGGGAATTCGAGTTTCAGTTTAGCGGTGGTCAATTTCGCGTTCAACGAGCGTAAAAGTTTGTCGAAGGTAAAACAGAATCACTTTGATGACGTTGGTACATTTTCTTATTCAACTGTGGTGAAAGATTGAATGGGGATTGTACTAAGTTAATAGGATTTGAATGAGTTGAAGAGCTCAGAACAAGCTAGCAGCCAACGATATTACTTAGTCTAGTGACGTATATACAACTGCATCTCCGTTTTTCTCGTGAGCATCATCTCTGATAGTTTAAACTGGTGTAACCGGAAACATTTTTTACTAATGAGGCCAGACATTTGGCGTCTACAAGAAGCACATGGATACGATTCAAAGTGACCTCACAATATTCACCACATCCGGCCGTGGGCGTGAATTTGATGTAAAGGAACTGGGTCGAGATTAATCCGCTGTCCACAGGAACTCGGTCTTGACGAGTTCGAAGAAAATCAACAACATGATTTATAATTCTGCGAATGAATCGAGCAGTCAGTCCTATCCTGCCTAGATCTTCTGAAGGAATGCTTTCTCGCGAATAATAATTTAATTGAAAGGATAAATGGAAGTCGGCTGTCGTGTCGTGCGTGGTCCCGACTGGAAATGGGGAAATCAAGATGGCGGCGAAGGCCATGTAGGTACGGTGGTCGTCGTTGGCCGCAGCGGTAGTGTGTCTTCACCGGACAAAACTGTTGTTGTTCAGTGGGACGGCGGAACGAGGACTAACTACAGATGTGGATATCAAGGAGCGTTTGATCTATGTTTGCTTGATAACGGACCAGTTGGTAAGCTTGTGATTTTAATAAGCTGAAGCTTAAGCTTGAGTTTATTACGTTAAGTTAAACATGTTTAGGCACCGATAATTCGATGTCAGTTGGCTACATGTAATATAAAGCTTTTATATTCTATCTGCACGACATATTAATGATGCAAGTGATAAGACTTATGAAAGGCTTTTATCAACAGAATTTTCAAACAACAGAAAAGAAGTAGAAACTAAAACGCCACACACTTGAAAAGGAAACCGTAATTTATGTTTCACGTAGATTGGTTGTGGAAGAAATTGTTAAAATTACTGGTTTTGCTTCAGTGTTTTTCGTCGTTAGATGAACGAACCGGAAAATTCTATTTTTAAAGTTTCTCAGAAGTTTTAACGCACATTCTTGGTAAATCTATGGAAAGGGATTAACAATTGTACGTAATGTACTCATTGCCTTGTATGGCTTTGGAAAACATTCGATACTTGAGCACCTTAAAATTAATTGGACCTCAACTTAATTGGATTTTCTCTTTTCTGAAACAAGTATCAGCCATGAGGCTGAGTGACAGGAAGGTTTTCAGTTCATTTGCATGCAATTTGATATTGCCATAACACCATCATGGTCTGTGCCATTCATTCTTCTGAATTTTGTTTTGATTTTGATGGGTTTAGTATTTAAGAAACAGAGAACTTGTACCGTGTCTCTAATGAGTTTAAGTATAAATCTACTAGCATTCCATCACAAATGATAATAATAATAATAAAACACGTAAATAGTTGACACAATTACCGGTAACCCAGTAGTTTACATTGTGGGCTATATAAAAAAAAAGTAAGAGTGAAAAAAAAAAAAAAAATATTTAGTTAAAAAATGTTAAAATATTGAAGAAGTTAAAATATAATACAGCATGTACATAAAATGTATTTGGATATATTACAAGACATTTTCAAAATGTTCTAGAGACGGTAAAATGTTCACGGTCTGAATTACTTTGTAAAAAGTTGTTCACTAAAAGTTTAATGTCTAATGTTTTAATGTCTAATGTTTAATTTCACTAAAAGTTAAATGCCGTTCTCTGATTGGCTAAAAATGACTAGTACATTTATACTAAAACAACTAGATTATTTGCTCTCGATTTCTATGCGTGACAGTTAAATCGGGCTGCGCCCTTGTCAGTTATCA